ACACTCTGTCGAGTCCTGCGATACCTCAACTCCAGTAGCGAGAGGGGCGAACTGCGACGGAGATGTCGGGAAGCCCACTATTGAGGAGGGCGCAGGTGTACACTGCACCGTGGCTAGGAGGCGCCGCGGGGACGTGAGGCGCCAGGGGGGGACTGAGCACGACGCTGACGAGAAAGATCAGCGTAGTGACAGTTGAGGGCGGTAGTGTAAGGGCACCGCGAGGAGGTATGACCGTCCAAGCGGCAGCGCAAACACCCACGTCGGCCCAGAATAGCCGCGCGCTCCTCAGCGGAAAGGACACCGCGAGGAGGGACGAAGCCCTGAGGGAGGTCCTCCTGAGGGACCTCGGGGGGCGACGCGCCAGCGTGACCGGGGCGACTGCATGCTCGAGAGAGGGCGGAGAGCGCGAGCTGAAGGCGCTCAGCTGCAGGGAGGGTAGAGTCCTCCAAGTGATAGTGGACGGCCTCGCAGAGATCGAGGTCGTCGCTGTGGTCGCCCTCGGGTGACAGTGGGGCAACAGCGTCCTGCTCACCATACTCCACTGCGCTGAAGCGGTGCGAGAAGTGGCGGCCCTGCTGCGTGGAGCGGCGGGGGCGACCGCGGAAAGGGGAACGGCGCTGGGAAGTGCCATGAGAGGAGGAGGCGTAGCCCGTGCGCTGGGGCTGGGAGGAGGAGGCGGGGTGAAGACGGGCTCGCATCCGCTGGTGGTCCCTGGCGGCCTCGTAAGCCTGTGGGGCCGATGTGAACTCGTACCGCCATAGCTCGGAGCGGTGCTCGAGCGGAAGGCTGGCCAAGAAACGATCGATAAGGGCAAGCCTCGGGGAGGAACGCCACGTCGCAAACGAGGCGGGCATCCTGAAAGACCTAGATGTGGCGATCCAGGCCGGTAGCGCCACCAGAGCCGGACCAGCGTGTAGTGACGACACACTCGAAGGCGTCAGTCACGTCGTATCGGGCTCCGATCCGATCCTCGAGGAACGCCTGGAAATCCACGAAGGTCGGAGTCCGACCCTCACGAAGGGAGTAGGCATAGAAATCCTCCCAGGCCTCGAAAGGACCGCCACGCAGGCGCGTGGAGAGGTGACCCACCCACGTCTCGGGTGTGGCGCCCATGAGCTGGAGTGTGCGGGTGGCAGACTGCAGCCACCAAGACACGCGTATGCCTGTACCGTCATACAAGGCAATGTCCGACAAGCGGATGAGTGGTGCGCCACCGTTTTGGCGGTGGGGGGATCGAGGAGCGGAGGCCTGTGCCACGACTGAGTAAGTCGGCGCAGGTCCTGGAGAAAGGGGCGCAGCTGACTGTGCGCCCGGGCCGCATGGGGGAGCAACGGTGGCAACAGCGGCAGGTTGCGAGGGTGCTGTGGTAGAAGAGGTCGCAGCAACCGCGGGAGTAGGAAGAAGGTAGGAAGGAGTTGTATAGGGTGCAGGGCACGGAAAGCGAGCCCGCATGGGAGGAAGGGTAGAGGAGGTAGGGGGTGCGCCCGAAGGCACGGCCACCTGTGAGGGTGGGGGTGGCTGAAGTCGTAAGAGGGCGAGGTCAGCCCGGAGTTGGGCAATCTCGTCCGCGAGACCTCGAACGTAGGTCGATCGAGGGGTGGCGGGAGGAAGAGTGGAGGGGGTGGACGCACAAGCGGCGCGGGGCATCCCAGAGGGGGGAGAGCCAGGTGGCGCTGCGGTCGTGCGAAGGGGAGGGAGAAGCGGGGCACTTGGAAAAGCTGAGATCATGGTAGCAGGTTGTTGTACCGTGGCCGTAGTGACCGGGATCTGGGCAGGTGCGCCCGTAGATTGAGGAGGGGCCTGGCTCGTGGTGGCCGTCGTGCTAGGGGCGTGGATAGTCATCAAGATGGCCGGGTCAGGGGCAACGGGGGAGGAAGCTCCGTCGTGGCCACCCTGTCGGAGGACGGGGGACCTGGACTGGGAGCCAGGAGATGACGGACACGCAGCGTCTTGGAGTTGCTGCATGTCGGCGGCAAGGGTCGCCACCTACGCCTGTAAGGGCGCGAGGGTCGCGAGTTGCGCCTGGATGGGCGCAAGGGTCGCGAGTTGCGCCTGGATGGGCGCAAGGAGGGAGATGAGGAGGGTGTGTAGATCCCCCTGGGGCTGATGGCCGTTCGCCGGCACGGGTGTGCAGCCCGATGCCGTGGTCATCGGCGTGTGACACACCGTCGGCCATGGGGAGATGACAGACCAGACTGGAGGGGGCCAGAAGAGGTCCGCGTGACCGGAGGGCGTAGGGGGAAGTCCGCGGTAGAAAGCGGCGAACGGCGCTAGCAAGGCTAGCACGGGCGCCGTCAAAGGGGGAGGGGTGGTTCGGGTCCAGGGTGCCCGAAGAGGACGGGGAAGTAGGGGGGTTTTGAGGAACCCTAAACCCTAAAAAAACCCTAAGAAAACCCTAACCGAGGTTTAAGGCTAAGGTAGGGTACCGGTGACCTAATCAAGAAAGTGAAATAGCAAGCATAGGGGGGGGGGAGACAGAAGAAAAATAAATAAACAGCGAGATTTCGGGAGAAAATAAAAATAAATAAGAAAATAAATAAATAATAAAAATAATTAAAGAAATAAGTAAAGAGATGTGAAGAGAAACAATATTTATTTTTTTGAAATTTTCGGCAGCATTTCCCTACCCCCCACGAGGTCAAGAATGTGCCAAGGGAAAAGGAGAGACCGAGGTGTGCACACTAGAGATGCCGCAAATAAATAAATAAAAAAATAAAATTTAAAAAATAAATAAATAAATAATAAATAAATAAATAAATAAATAAGTGTA